TGGCGGATTTCCGATTTACAGCGGTTCCGCATTTTACGAAATGCCAGCTCATCTTCTGTGTCCCCTGTGGTCAACTTTTTGAAAAAGAGTTGGGATCGGTGAAAGATGGAAAAACCTCCTCCGCGAACTCTACTATCAACGAACATCGACTAAGCAGAATTAAGAAACTAAACGTCTCGTGTTAACATAGCTTTAGTATACTGGACATCCTCACGCGTCTTACTGAACTTTCATGGATATTCATTGCCTATTACACAGTTGTGTACGAGCACCGCAAAGCAGCTCCACAAGTTCCCTAATAAACTTCAGCTTTCACTCGATGTGTCGCGAGGCTTCGATATGACCACAGACTACTCGCATACCTCACCAATAGTGTACACCGCTGCACCGCTCGCACTTTAAGTGTCACCTTATCAACTGACGGCTGATATGACGTGTGCGAAATGAGCTTAAAATTCTTCCTACACTGTTTCCGCTGAGTGTAAATAAGATGAAGTGTAAAATCCGTTGGCTAAACCTTGTTCAAACAACGCATAAGTGAGTTTTCGGTCTCACTGGAGGCGACGATACCCAGGAGATATAGGCCAAACACCGCAAGGCGTGTTTCACAATCAACAGACTTAAGGTCGGCAAACATTTTTGAAGCAGTTTGTTGGACACGCTCAGTAGGGATTAAATCTTTCTTGCGTTCTGAGTGGACAGCCTGGTCGACATATTCAAGGAGTGGTCTGATATGGGGCCCGTTAAGTATCCGAGCTTCTATAGGAGTATTACGGAGGGAAGTTTACAGAGTCATCCGTAAGACCACAAATGCCTTTTGAGCCGATTTTTCGTGGTGCAGTAAGGAGGATATATTTGAAGACAGCCAGATACCGAAATATATTTTGGTATCTATCTTCGTAGAGCCTTCTGATCTATCCTCAGGTTGCACAACAAAGGGCGTTTTCTGAGGCTTTTTCAAACGATAAATGGACGCACATTTTGTCATTTCAGGCAAGGTGCCAGTCCAACGGCAACCGTTTTCCAGCGTCTACGTCAATTTAAAAGGCTCTGGTGTTTGAACCTTAGGATTTCAAGTCGTCCGCAAAAAGCTGACATGGGCTTGGAAAAACGGCAGGACGGTCGTTGAAGTACATCAGAACCATCAGTAGTCATAAAACAGACTCTTGAGGAACCCCAGCCGGAACCGGCACCGAAGGAGAGTAGGTCAGAACTTCCTTCACTCGGAATGTTTTGTCTGATAGAAACACCTCAATCGAGCGTTCGATCTCTCATTGAATCCTGTAAGACTAGAGTATGTGGAGCGAAGGGATGGGCACGACTCAATCAAATGCCCTTGAGATGTAAAAAATATGGCATCCTTCACAGGTCCCTTTTCCTCTGCTCGGGTTCAGCTGTCCATAAATGGGTGCATCTTCGTCAAATAAGGATGGTTTGGGAGGCATCCATGATGGACCGGGGATATCAAGTTGTTGATTGTAAGGTGATTTAAAATGGTCTGCTTCAGAAAGCGTTCCGTTACCTTGCACGATACGCTACTTAAGCTAGTAGGCCTGTGGCTGCCGGATGATCGTCAGCCACCAGTTTCGTAGATTAAAGTAACAACGACCGATTTTCAAGCAGAGAGCAATTAGCCTTCGTTGAGCGACTGACAAAATACTTAACAGCCCACTCATTCATTCGGAACATTGTGGTGCACTTCCGCTTGACATGACGATACCAACAAATGCTTTGACGTTGTTTATCCATAGTACACAA